CACTCCTTTTAGGGTTCAGGGTTTCGCATTTAGGTTTAGGGTTTCGCACCCACCCACTCCTTTTAGGGTTTCGTACCCAACCACTCCTTTTAGGGTTCAAGGTTTCGCACCCACCCACTCCTTTTAGGGTTCAGGGTTTCGCATTTAGGGTTAGGGTTTCGCACCCACGCGCTCCTTTTAGGGTTGAGGGTTTCGCACCCACCCACTCTTTTTAGGGTTCAGAGTTTCGCACCCACGCATTCCTTTTAGGGTTCAGGGTTTCGCACCCACCCACTCCTTTTAGGGTTCAAGGTTTCACATTTAGGGTTTAGGGTTTCGCACACACTCACTCCTTTTCGGGTTGAGGGTTTGGCAGCCACCCACTCGTTTCAGGGTTCAGGGTTTCGCACCCACGCACCCCGAAAGGAACACTCAAATCCCAAAAGTCATCATCGTCATCATCATCAAACTCATCATCATCATCATCAGAGTAGGTGCACCTTGCTCAGGGTAGGTGCGCGGCCACAATAACATGCAAAAATGCAAATCAGCCTGCTCGCAGAATCCTCGAGACAGTTGTCATTTTCAGGAGCGAGTTGCTCGCGCGGCACAAGAGGAAGCCAAAATGCAAAAGAGCTCAAACGCAGAATCCTCGAGACAGTTGTCATTTTCGGAGGCGAGTTGCTTGCGCGCCTAGTTGGGGCCTCCCCGGCCGTCCCGCGACCATGTGCCGAGTAGTACGCGCCCGCCGGCTAAAACAGACCCCGCTCGGCTCCGCAGAGAAGGCGTGCGGGCAAACCGACCATTTTGCGCGTAGTAGTAGTAGCAGTAGTAGTAGTAGTAGCAGCAGCAGCAGCAGCAGTACTAGTAGTACCGACAGGATCCCTGTTAGGGGGAACAATTTTGGGTGGTTTGGCCAAATGCCCAGTGTTGCTTTGAACGGCAACATGGCACACAAGCCATATGAATGTTGTCCACAGTTAACACTGAACACTCAGTTAACGCTCAGCTAACCATACAGTTAACACTACAGTTAACACTTCAGTCAACACTGCCGAAATGCTGCGAAGACCGAATCCCAACATTCAGGGCAATTAAATTAGGTTTTTGCTTCTTTGATGCATAAATCAACAAAATGCCTTTTTTGTAGCATGTTGGCCGTGTTAACTGTAGTGTTGACTGAGTGTTAACTGACAGGAAGATACAAGAATAGCTGCAGATCGAGCCTGCTCGCCGGAGCATAGGCAAGGCCTCCAAGACGAAACTTCACAGCCTTTACACACATGCCGTCCCAACAGCACCTCAACTCCTAGGAGATTCTGCATAACTCGATTTGACGATGCTGACGAGTACTGTTGATGGCAGGGGTAGCACCAGCAGTAGCAATAGCAGTAGTTGTTGTTGTTGTTGTTGTCGTCGTCGTTGTTGTTGTGTTTGTAGCAGTCGTCGTCGTCGTCGTCGTCGTCGTAGTAGTAGTAGTAGTAGTAGTAGTGTAGTAGTAGGAGTGATAATGGTAAAAGACGAGTATTGGTCGTAGTAGTAGTAGTAGTAGTCGTCGTAGTAGTAGTACCCCCAATTGGCGTTTTAGGTGTTGTGAGCCTTTATTCCTTTCACGGGCCGGGATTTCTCTGGAATTAAACCCTAGCTTAGAGTGCGGTTGGGTCTCGATTTTAGCAAATAACCTCTTCCTGCTACGCTTTCAAAGCCTTATGGTCCTTGGGTTTGGCGTAAACCAAGGGCGCAAGAATGCTGGAAAAGCCGTGCGCGAATCCGACGTCCGATGCTGGCGAGATCCCGGCATCTACAGAACATACGAATCCGCAAGGTCGGCGCATCTCCTGTCCGCAAGTCTCCTGTCCGCCAGTGTGCGCAAATCATCGAATCCTTCGTCCGGTGACAGTGAACAAATCGGATCGCAAATCCAGGCAGACCGAACTCCAGCATGGTTTTTGGTCACCACGGCCACTCTTTACCCTGACACGTGATTGCGAAGTCCTGTCCTGTACATCTTGTCGCTGCGGATCCTGCTCACCACATGTTTCGGCTTGGTAAAGCTTGAAATAAATTTTGCAGTTTGCCGATTGTGGCGTGTTCTGCAGCAGAGGGATTATGGTCTTAGCAGTTCTTGGCAAGAGCTTCTGTTCAGAGACCTATGGTTTGCAATGAAGGTGCTCAGCCCGGAAGACATTGCAGCTTCTTGGTCCCGCGTCCGTCGGGTATATCTCGAGGTTTTGGAGGCGCCAGCAAAACAGAGCGGGACGAGCGGTGACTCAGCTCATCCCACCTTCCTGTCCAGGCAGACGGTCAGAGCCTTCGCCGGGAGAGCGCCAAGCGGTTGAAGGCCGAGCACGTAGCAACTGCAGTTGAATCTCCACAGATCTTCGGAAGCTCGTAGCTGGAGCTTTGTTGAAAGCCTTTGTGACCTTCACCGGCTTGGCATGCGGTATCTTCGTGTCGCTTGTCACGACATGTAACCGAGTGTCTTCATGCAGGCCGAGACTGCCATTTTCCGCCTAAGCGAGTTGGAAGCAGCACAAGCAGGCCAGACGCAGAGTACCTACCGCAGACTCTCTGACCGTGGCGACTCGACGACAGCGTTACCCTGTAGAGGCCTCCAAGAAAAGAGGCTGGAGCGGTGGAACCAGCAACAAATGGCAAAGGAGGAGGCACTTTCGGAGCATTCGCCATTTTCTCCAGCATTGCTCCTGCATGGTTCATGAGATGTTTGTACTTGTGCCCTTGCCATCCGGAGGCCTCGCAGCGCCGCCATGCTGACCTCTCAAAGCGACTACCTCGCACATCTGATGAGGCGCCCGGCTCGATACACTCGGTTTTGTGGACTGCATGCTGTAGTAAGTGTAGTGAGCGAAGTGCGTGGCTTTTGGCAGTATTTCTCCCGCATTGGCCCTGAAGGATGTGCGTCTTAAAGGAGATATTTGTGTCCACCAGCACGTGGGCTTTGCTGTCCCTCACACTCGAAGGACAGCGAAGCCGGCCGCCGTGGGCGAAACGGACGAATCCTGGAGGATGTGGACAAACTCTTGTACAAGTGGATCAGATGGTCCAGGCACGCTACTCTTCAGTACTCGTCTGTCAATTCCTAGTTGGTGTTTCTACTTGGCAGGTCACCAATGCGCAATTCGAGAATCCTAGCTTTGGAAAGCCGCGGGCGCAACGGACGACCAATCAACGTGAGCATGTAAGATGGAGCCTCTCTTCAAAAGCTGCCACGACTTGCCACTTTAATATATCTCATAACAGACAACGTCTCCCTCCTCACCTTGCATGCTTACAACTTGGTATTGGAACAAATTTGCCGGTTGATCCTAAACATAACGCGATTGGAAGGAAATAGAATCATCATGTCTACCAAATAGCTTGAATACCTATAAAAATGTTACCTGCCATAACTTGCAGAATTGATATAATATTATATAATATATAATATAAATAGATTATGTTTATGATATGAAAATAAGATCATATATGCTATATTATCTTATATATGATTTGATAGAATTATTAATATGTCATTTTTGCGGTCTATATTTTTATTGGTATCTTTAATATATAAAAATAATAAAATAGAAATTGATTAAACCAATTCTTTTGTGTTTGGAAATTTTTCATGATAATTATATATTCTAATATGAATGATATTATATATATAATATATGAAATAAGAAATATATTTAAAAAATTTCTTCTTATCGATTAATAATTTAATTGATTATATTGGTCGATATTTTTTTAAAGAAAGATTATTTAAAATATATATTGATTTCATTAATTTATATGACTCTATATTTTGATAGTTTTTTCAATTAATTAATATGTAAAAATAGATTCTTATATTATTAGTAAATTCTATTCTTGATAAAAAAAAATT